CTTTCAAAAGCCAATAGAATAAAAGGGAATAGCACAGCTAAGGAAAAGGGGAAAAAAATGGCGGACAGCCTTGTTTGGCGACCCCCGTGAAATGGTCGTTCGACCCCAAATGGGGTCCTGACCCACAGGTTGAGAACCACTGTGCTAAAGTATAACATGTCAGTAGTTTTGGAAAATGAGCTTGCTTTTAATGCATAGTAGAGAATTCATATGTCTCAATTATATTGTTCCTTGCTCTTACATCAATCTGGGTTTTTTAGCTATGGAGGTGCAAGATGGCAACTATTATTGTTCTGCAGGGACAATTTGGGCGTAATTTTATCCAGTTTGTACTTCCTTGTTAAAGCAGTGGATTTACAGCAGTGGTTCTCAACCTGTGGGTCGGGACCCCATTTGGGGTCGAACGATCATTTCACGGGGGTCGCCAAACAACGCAGTCTGCCATTTTTTCCCCCTTTTCCATAGCTGTGCTACTCCCTTTTATTCTATTGGCTTTTGAAAGCCAATAGAATAGACTCTCTTGAATAGAGTCTAATTCTATTGGCTTTCAAACGCCAATAGGAATTGTCCAGGCTGTCTCTGCCCTGCTGAGCCCGCCAAAAGTCCCATTCTGCAAACGGTGCTGCACCAGTTGAGTAGTCGACTTACGACCGGTTGAGTAATCCCTGACTTACGACCGGTTGGGGGTTGCAGCATTAAAAAGGTTGAGAACCGCTGATTTACAGCATGTAATTTTACACAGGATTTTGCACACCTTTCATTTTGCTTTCTTTATATGTATTTAATTTGGATTCTGCTGATTCCAACCAACTCTTGGCCTTATAAAGCTTTTTAGAGATAATCCTACTGTACCATATTTGGGCAGCAAAAATCCAGATATCCACTAGATGGCAGCACAGAGTTTTCAGTGGCTCTTTGTTGCTTTCCAGCCATCATCTGGGTTTCTACAGTCCAGATATGGTAGGCTGACTAATTATATCCTGAATCATTTGCATTTGAAGACAAATGGGAAAAAAATGGAGAAGGGGAAGAACAGCAGAGGAAAAAGGATAAGAGTAAAGGGCAAGTAGCCATTTTTCCACTTCACATTTTATGTATTGGCTATTAATCTTCGTTTGGTTTGATTTCTGTTCCAGAAGAATAGTTTAGTGGTTTAATTTCTGGAGAGAAATTACTCTTAGAATTCTGGGCCTCTTCTGGCATTGATAGTTATTTGTTTGGTTATATGCCACTATTTAAATCATACTTGGAACAGTCTGTTCTAAATAGCTGTATCTTTTTAATGTGGTGATATAATTTCTGGAAAGAAATTATGTTAGAGTTATATGCCTCTTCTTCCAGTAAGGGTTATTTATACAATTAATGCATAATTCTAATTCCATTCTCAGTAAAGAATGATTGAAATACTTTGGTATAACTAGTTTGCAACCAAGATTATTAGATACGATTGTGCAAGCTTAACTGTAACAAGCCTTACTGAAAACCAGATGATTGATAGTCCTTTTAAGGTTGGAACCATTTATTTTTATAGCATTAGATTTGCTATGTTTTACCATTTGACCTGAAAAATATGCTAAGAAGCATGACGTCTGTAAATCTGTTGACACAGTATTTTGGTTTTCTAGAATAGAGTTCAGCTAAGCACCTAACTTCACAGTAGGTCTGTTGCCAATGACAAAATGTTTTGTAAACCCACCAAGAACCCTAATATTGTGATGATCTAAAAATTTAATAAATAGAAATAACATACATTAAATTTCTTCATTTCCATACTGTTGTATATAGAGGTTGGATTGATAAGTACTGAAATTTATGTTGGCTTATCTGATTAAGGGTGAAATCTTACACACAGTATACTTACCTGTGAGTAAACAGTGTTGGGCCCAAGAAAATTTAGTTATGGGAAATCACACCCAGCACTGCATGGATTGGTTGGCTAAGAAGTAAAAATGTTACAATAGTAGAGGTACGGTATGTCTATTCCTGTGTATGGATTTCAGTTTTCTATCTATCTGCTATGAAAACATCTTAATTATTTTAAAACTATAGTGACACTAAGATCTGAAAATAACATCAGTTGCTATTCATTTTTTTTAGTCCAGATATCTGGACATGTAAAAATAAATGCAGGTTTATTTTTCTTAAGTAAAAACTCTACTTATTCTCAAATCCATATATTCCTTGCAAACTCAAAACCTAACTGGCTAGATCAGGTTTGAGCTCCAGAAAAAAAGTTTTATCTCTGTGATAGTTTCCAGTGATTATAGGTCCCATACAATCTTATATTTTCAACAAGCTTGTCCAGTTCATCAAAGTTTGGCCACCCTGGCACTTCCCCCCCATATGCTGGTACTTTCTCACTGAAATATAATTGCAAGTTCATATGTGAACTCTTATTTTGGGAACTGTATTTTGAAACTCTTCATTCTACCTGGTGTAAAGGGTGAAATCTTCCTGAGTAAATTCTTCTTTTTGGCTTGCTTTATGTAGCATATTTTCCACACATGTCTATTCAAATATATATGTCACAAAGCTACACATTACCACTAAATCATAGAATTATATATTGCCATTATATGCTAATGATAGTATAATGGTAGCAATATACTGATGCAAGTCAATGTGGTGTACTGGTTAAGGCATCAAGCTAAAAAAGGGAGAATCATGAATTCTCATCCCATCTTAGCCACAAAGGCATCCAAATGACCTTGGCCAATTACTCACTCTCAGCCCTAGGAAGCAGGCAAGGGCAAACTTCTGAAATGTGGTTTTAAAAAAGTCACAATGACATCAATGTCATTAATGCCCCAGCCCTTTATATATTGCAGAGAAAAAGGAGCAGTCATGGTCACTACCTTGACTTTTATGTCCCCCTGCAGATGCCCCTAGTATCACATAACTTAATAAATCTAAATTCTACATGACTAATAATAAAGTACCTTCTGAGATAGATCTTTCTTTAAAATATATTCTACTGTAATGAACAAAACCATGACTCTGTGTATATAACCATAAAACAGGGTGTCTAACAATATTTGTAATATAATTGAGTATTAATAGAAATTAGCTGTGGCCTAGTTTCTGCTCTAGCAGTAAAGGGCTACAGTGAGGTGGTTGTCCCATGTTGTTAGATACAATATTGTTTAAGTATACCTTACCGCTTTCAGACCACTGGTGGTATCCCACCCCTTGTACAATGTTGTTTTGTGTATCTGCCCATGTCCCAGCGCATTGGGCCATCCAAATTGTAGTGCTTAGAATTAGATACACCTTATTTTATTTTAATAGGTTTATGTCCTACAGCATGGCAGTGTAGAATAGTTCCATAAATATAAACACGCTTAATTGTGCAATTTTACAATTCTATTCTCTCTTCATTGGTGATTATAGTTGGTCATTCTTATTTTTGAGCTTAACTTTCCAAGTACACCTAAACAGTGGTAATTACTACACAGTTGTTTCATTTCAAAACCTGCACTCTTTCATACCTGTATAAATATACAGGGAGTGCTGATTTAATGCCTGCAGTAGACACCAGCCACTTGATCATTAAGCAAAGTGATCACTAAATGAAATCATAACTGTCAAATGAAGGCAAATATGCATGTCTTGGGGTAATGTTGCAGGATCCAATCTGAGTCAGTCATCAGGACCAGAGGTTTATTCTTCCAAGCTTTCGGATTCATGCAGGAGCCTATCCTCAGGAACTTCTCTTTCTAGAATGTGTGCACCTACAGAGCTGTTCTACATGTGGTGCCTGATTGTGTGTGGGTTTTAGTTTTTAATAGCCAATCAACCACCCTAATTAAAACTAAAAGCCACACACAACCATCCACCCTATAAATACAACCCATAGAAAAGCACAGTGCACACATTCTGGAGAGAGAGAAGTTACCTGAGGCTAGGATCCACACCAGCCTGAAAGGTAGGAAGGATAAATTTCCCAGTGACAGATTCGGATTGGATCCTGCCATCACAACTGTGCTTATAATCTTACCTCAGCTTTCCTTTGCTTTACAGACTTGTGGTTTAAATGCAAGGATTGGTCCCAAAGTTAACTTTTTTCATTGTAAATGAATAGTCACTATAAGAGGCATTTTCCACCATAAAATGGAATCTGAAGTAGATTGTACGATCATATTATTCTCCTGTAATTGCACCACTGTGCTTTGGCCTATGCAGCTTTCATGCTATAAACTAATTAAATACATTTTATCCTTCTCATGTTTGTTCATCAACCATTTGCATGTGACACTTTGTATTATTGCTCAGCAGATACTATGGTACTAAACTATTCTGTAATGTGATACAGTATTGCGATACAGTATTTTGATTGAGGGGTAGTGTGTTAGATGTTAGATGATTTCAGATTTCCATGCCTTTTCCAACACAATTTCTTTTTTTACAGAATCTGATCACTGTCCAATTTAGAGTCAGTTGCTTACAAAGTAGCTTACAAGACAATCATGACTGATCTCTAACCCCTTGCATCCTATTCCCGCCCCCCCCCTTTTACGAAGATAACAGACACTTCCCTCTCCTGTCATCTGGGACATCATCTGTTCTCCAGGATTTCTCAAAAGAAGCTGGGCCCAATCAACCAAAAGAGGCTTGGCCCAATCAACAGCAATTTGCTTCAAACCCCCCCCCCCCGAGAGGCAATCCATCCACACGTGGGGATGCGAAGTTCCTCTCTTCGCCGCCAGTATAATGCCCGAGCCCGGCCTCTGCCTCTGCCCACGAGCTAGAGACCGTGCAATTCTTCCTTTTTCGAGCAAAGCATTCGAGAGAGAGAGAAAAGGGCCGTTCACCGGCGGAGTAAAGGCGATGTCAGAGGCCGCAGGCAAAAGCAGAAGCCCGGAGGCTCCTCTGAGCAACATCTCCGCGCTCGGGGGGGGGGGGGAGGGGGGGAGGAGGAGAAGCTCCCGCGGCGTCCCGGCCCCTGAATTGTCTTCAGCGAACCCGACCAGCCGGAGGAGGCGGGGCTTGAGGAAGTGACTTCAGCCGGCGGCGCTCGCAAGCGTGGAGAGCAGAAGTCTCGGCGCGCGGCTCGCCGACGTTCCTCGCGGGAAGGCGCTGGAGGCTGTTGCGCTGGCCATGGCAGTGGCGGCTGCGTGTCCCTTCAGGGTCCTTCTCAGAGCAGCAGGGAGAGACAATGTGGGCAGGACGGCAGCGGTTGCGGTCCCTTTCCCCGACCTCTTCGCCGGGCTTTCTCTTGGCGGCGGCGGCTTAAAAGCGAAGCCTTACTGCACGCTGTCTCCGCAGCAGCACCAGCAGCCCTCCGCTCCGCCTCCGGATATGAAAAACTACCTGTGGAAAAGCTACAACGAGGCCAAAAGAGTCACGAAAGGTGAGAGAGATCCGGGGTCTGGGACGAGGAGAGAAGGCTGTCTGCGGGGAGGTGGGGGGGCGCTTGCCTACCTTCTCGGCGCGGTGCCTGTTGCACGTTTTCGCTCCGGGCGGCTTTGTGCCTATTGAAAACGAACCTTGCGGCTTCCCTCGCTGCCCCTCAAGGGTCGCAGAAAGGGGGCTTCTCCTCCTCCTCCTCATCCCACTTCCCTCTTTTGTTCCTCTTCATTTTGGCGGACTCCAAGCAGACTCCCCCCCCCCCCCCAAAAAAAAATTTTACTCGACGGTGCGAGGTGATGCTCTTCAGCTTCAATGTGGGAAAAGCGATCTCCTTGGCCAAGGTCACCGGGGCGCAGTTTTGTCGCCCTGCAATGGTTTGAGCTTAGATCTGCGTGTTGAACAGGTAATAAACCAGGTAGTAGATTTGTAGGTAGTTGGCGAGGATGCCTATACATACAAACAGAGCCCTCTGTCAATATGAAAACTGGAATGTTTTTATGACGTTGGGATGTACTGATAGAAGAATGGTGTGCTGTTGATCTCTGGATAATGTATAAGGAAATGGACTTTGGAAACCCATAGTAAGCCCTTAGTGGATCCCCCTGCCTGTGGATATACTTCAAGAAATCTGGGAGAAAAATATGGTAAAAACCCTGTTTATTTAATTCTAGGCTGCAACATAAATTACAGTAGTTGTTTCAATGTTTATTTTTAAATAAAATGGGAATATCCAATCGGAATCTCTCCAGTTGTAATAGTTTTAATTTGCTTCTGTCTCATAGGCAAGTAAGGATTATTAGGAACCTTAGGGCTGCAGGCAGATGACCTGAGAACCAAACAAAGCTCTGCCACCAGGAAGAGAGTAATTAAATCAGAGACATTTTGAATAAGAAGTACTGGGAATAAAAAATAATAAAAAAGGAGGTAATCCATAGGGAATACTTTTTAAGAAGAGAGATCTGGGTAAAAATTTTTATATGGGCCCTTTCTCTTTTTAAAATGTAAGGAAATTGTGAGGAAATGTTACTGCCATTGCAGAATTCCCTCTATGCTTAGGTTGCTGTAGTTGATAGCAGTAAGAGTCTGAGCTCCATTCAAAGTGCTACCTTATAGGGCAGTATTTCCCAACCTTGGGAACTTTAACGCTTGTGGATTTCAACTCCCAGAATTCTGCAGCCAGCATAGGTATTCTGGCTGGGGAATTCTGGGAGTTGAAGTTCATAAATCTTAAAGTTCCTAAGGTTGGGAAACGCTGTTATAGGGTTTTACTTGTAAAACCCTATAAAGTGTGTGGTTGGAACATGCCAGGAATCACTCTCCCAAGCTTATTCTGCCCATCTCTTATAGATTATTAAAGGAGTGGCTGTTGAGAATTAATTACATCCATTCTACCCACCCAAGAAATCAGTGGGCTGTGGTTGGTAATGCCCCTTACATTCTGGCATACTTTTCCCCAGGGGAAAGTTCTTTTTATTTAGAAAAGAAGAAAATCACTTATTCCAATAAATTTTGGCTCCTGATATGATTGTTGGGTGGCTTATTATTAAGGTTGTATCTTACGCTCTGGGTTTTTTTTTTCCTGTTTTTGTATTGCCTAGAATTCTAATTTATACAGAAATTTTCAAATAAAACATCATGGTTCAAGTTTCCAAGTTGTTGGTAGTTTCATGCATTGATTTTCTAAGCATGCACCAAAAATGAAATAAATTATACAGGTGTTATTACAGTGGTGACTATTCCAATCAGCAAATTTTATTTATTATTATTATTGTATCTCCTGCCTATCCTTTGGAAGGGCCGCCTCTTATTTTATCTGAAAAGCAACAACCCTGTGAGGAATGTTGGTCTAAGTGAATAGTTTATCCAATTAATCATGTAATTAACAGTGGATTTCGTTTCATATCATTCTGATTCTAGACCTATGCAATTCTTATAGCTCATCACAGAAATGTAAGGCCAGAAGTATCTTCCTTTATATGAAATTCAGTTTAAATTAGTAACTCTGCTATCAGGTAAAGATTTATAAAACAGAAGACTGTTAAACTAGATTGAATCATCTCAGGTCTGGTTTGCTTCATTAAGCTATTTTGGCATGCACACCAATCAGGACTGGCAGACTATGCAGTCCACAGTTTTCAGTTTCTGGGAGAACTATTACAATCAATAAGTATGTATTAACATGGGTTTTATGAAGGTTTGGATGATTGGAATAGAAAGGTTTGTAGGTTGAAAGTGATGAATGTATGTTGTATTCACATTACCACACATTTCTAACAAATCATCTCTGCTAGAATTAAGATACCTGTTTAGAAAAATAGAGAATCTGTTAGTTGTAACATTTATATTTCTTTATTTCTGAAGACTTTATTTTGGATGAAATGTACAGTATCCCATTTTGTGCAGTTGCCAGTTTCACATAATTCTGCAAGGTGCTCCGCTGATGTCTGTCACTTACAATCCTCCCATGTTTTGCTATTGCTAGTACATTCCATGTGCAGATATGAAATCTGAGGAAAAGAGGCTGAAGCCTCTTGTATGTTCTCCTAGTCAGGAGATATATTGCTCTGTATAACTCCACCCTCTGAATCAAAAGGTTAAAATAAAGTTTTTGAAGAAGTAAAATGAGTAATTTGATATATTTTTATAAAGTATTATATCTTCAGCATCTCAGACATGGACTTGGTTGCAATGAATCACTACAATAAATGCAGTGCATTGTGACAGTGAGCTTCCTGGAAATACAGCCCTAGTATAGCTCTTTTCTGACAGCTTCTACTCTGATGTAACATGAAGTACCTTTCTGGTCTTTGGAGATGGACCTGTCAAATCTATCCTATTTAGAAGTCGAAGAAGATTAAGAGAGGATTCAAATAACTTGAGGATTGAGATGCAAGTTACTACTTAATGCAACAGATGTTGCTGGACTTGCTAGCTGGTGTTGGTGACAGTTGCACTTTAATAACATCCAGAAGGTCATATTTAATCCACTCCTTAAAATTCTAGCTCAGTTTACATCTATTGGTGAATTTTAACAAAACTCTGGAGCTTACCAGCAATTCTTTCAAAACATTAACAATAATTTTATCTAATACAGTCAAATAAATCTGAAAAGTCCATTCCTGGTATACCTTTTTCTCTTCTTTCCCCCCCTTCTAAGAGAACTGTGCTTCTTGGATATTGTTTTTTTTTTTTTAAATAACATTGGAACATAGTAAAGGCATTGTTGGAAGTGATAGACCATTTGAAAATAGAGGAAACATAAGATATACTAATCTTCCAAACAGATGATTGCGAACCAGTTTGCTTTGGGGGTTCCTTTGAAATGTTTATGTCTTCAACAGCAAAAGAAATGACTGTGCTGATCAGTAGGATATGGAGAAGGTTTGTACATGGAACCAGTTTTGGTCTAGTGCAGTGGTTCTCAACCTTTTTAATGCCGCGACCCCCAACCGGTCGTAAGTCGAGGACTACTCAACTGGTCGTAAGTCGAGGTAAGTCGAGGACTACTCAACTGGTGCAGCACCGTTTGCAGAATGGGACTTTTGGCGGGCTCAGCAGGGCAGAGACAGCCTGGACAATTCCTATTGGCTTTTGAAAGCCAATAGAATTAGACTCTATTCAAGAGAGTCTATTCTATTGGCTTTCAAAAGCCAATAGAATAAAATGGAGTAGCACAGCTAAGGAAAAGGGGAAAAAAATGGCGGACTGCTTTGTTTGGCGACCCCCGTGAAATGGTCGTTTGACCCCAAATGGGGTCCCGACCCACAGGTTGAGAACCACTGGTCTAGTGGTTAAGGCACCAAGCTAGAAAGCAAGAGACCCTGAATTCAAGTCCCAGCTTAGCCATGAAAGCTAGCTGGGTGAATTTGGGCCAGTCAATCTCTCTTAGCCTAACCCACCTCACAGAATTGTTGTGGGGAAAATAGGAGGAAAGTGTGTTGGATATTTCGTCATCTTGAGTTATTTGTAAAAACAAAAGTCAGATAATGAATGAATGAATAAATGATTCAGCATGGCATGAAGGTATTTTGATTCAGACCTGGGAAATTATTTTGCTACCATGCGCGTGCTAGAAGACGGAGACAAGGGCTTTCCATCACAGTGAATTACCTTGACAGCAAAGCTGTTATTAGAAAAGATTCAAATGGAGAATGAATATTTCTGCATACATTTTAATTTGTGATACTGACAATTCTTCCAGGATTTATACAAAATGTGACAAGGAAATTATGATATGCCTAGTTCGAGTGTGATAGCTTTTTAATAATGTTCTTTATTAATTTTATATTAACATTTTACTTGTGTTAAAAAGCATAAGCTATATAGTGCTGATTTACAAAAACACAACTAGTTTTATTTAACTGCATGATTCAGTAAGTATCTTTGAATCTGTTTATAAGATACAGATAATCTCTTTCTGAAAGTAGAAGTCTTGACAAAAGAAAATACATAACAATTTAAACAGTGGGCTATACAAAACGTGATAATGCCTATAAACGTGCAAGATTTCAAGAGGATTGGTTTACTTATTTCTGTCATTTATATACTATACAGTATTCTGCATTGGAACCCAGTAATTTATAACAGGATGTGAGTGTTAAAACCAAGCCAACAATGAAATAATAAAGCATTAGAGGAATATGGATCTCATTGGTCTTCAAATGCTGATTGGAAAGGCTCTTTTTAATAGCTTCTGGAAGAAGATTACCCTTCTCTAACTTCACAAAGGAGGTTCAGCAATACAGTATAGGGGCCCACAAGAGAAAAACATTATGAGGTCCTGCCCCCTAATGGACAAGTGTTCCTGGATTTTGTTGGAGTAGACGTAGATCAAGTCAATTACAGGCAGAGGAGGGCACTCAGTATAGGCCTCTATTGGTTAGAGTTTTAATTGGATTTGGAAATCTATACACAACCATTTGCAGGGGTCTGAGCATAGCTACTATCTAATTATGGTGACTCATTCATGGTTTCAAAGGCATGCTATAGCCCAATCATATG